GCTGAGCATCGCCTGCATCGCAATTCTGGCCCAAACCAAGAAAACCTCGCATGCTTCCTAGGTGGCAACCTAGGCGCAAAATTTTTTCTACCCACCCTCCACACCCGATGGGGGAATCTAGCGGAGCACGCTCTGCTCTGCATCAGACTCCTTTTGAGCGCGCCCCGCTCCGCACTGACACTGCAACCTCAGCGGAAAAAAGAGAGAGTGCGCTCAGTCTGTCTTTTGGTGCGTTGGCTATTTCGTACCAACCTAGAGAACACTGTGAAAGCACAAACTCGCAGTCTTCGTGCTGCGGCCGCGCCTGCAGCAGCGCGTCCCAAGCGGGAGTGTGGTAGCCTTGTTCGCGGAGGCAGACGGCCGCGTGGCCCGCTGCGGCCGTAGGGACAGTGCGGTCTCGGTCGAGGACTGCAGTGCACGGACCAAACGAGCGGCTGCCTGCGGCGCGCGTGCGTGAATGGTCGGCAAGCAATCCGCCCAGGACGCCCAGTAGGCGGCGAGGGCGGCGCCGAGTGCACCCCCAAACCACCAAACCGCAAAGGGAGTTGGGCGATGCGCTGTGAAGGCTGGGGCAATGGCTGCGGGGGCAGGGAGTCCTGCGACAGCAGCGTCGCAAGACATGCGCACACAGCAGCGTCGTGCTCGCGGGCAAAGGCCTCAGTCGCGCCAGGCGGGAGCATCCGAAGCAGGTAGTGAGCCCGCGGAGACGCGCAGAAGAGCAGGAGGAGCCACGCGCACTGCAGGTCCTCCACGGCGGGCAAGCGGGTGAGCAAGTGGTCCTGGTCGCCTGGGTCTCACGTTTACGACGCAGTTCCAGTTGTACGAAGGCCTCGCTTCCGAGCGGCGCGCCCAGCACCAGCAGTCCTTGCTGGTCAGCCGGCAAGGACCAGGCGTCCCTCCAGACTGGCTCTGCACCGACTGGTTGTAGACGGGCGAGGCCGGCAGGCTCTTCACCGGCGGCATTCCAAACGCCGGTCTTGCCCTTATTCAAGCGTATGCGCGCATGGCGCCACAGCGCGTCCTCCAGGGCGCCGTGCAGCGCAGCGGTGCGATCTCGTGCTGTCACGACATACGTGGCGTCCAGGAACGCGAAGATGGCTTCACCCGCCCGGCTGCCGCTTCGCTGAAAGCGGCTTGGTTGTCGTTGGTGTTGAGGTCGGAGGCCGGTTTGGCGCTGAGGCCGCCACCTGGCTCCGGCAGCTCGCTGGGCAGCGTGCCTTGGAGACGCAGGCGCCCATGCGGGCGGCTGTGCGCGCCGCGTGGGTTGCCCGGTGGTCCGGGCTGCTCGCAGTCGCTGCGCAGCGCGCCATCGCTGCGTCCTCGCTGGAGCTCCCACTCGCTGGCGAGTGTACGTCGCCGGAGAGGGCATGAGGTCCTGGCCGACGTGCGCTGGCACTTTCCGGTGACTGGCAGCCGCCAGGGGCCCCGTTAGGGCCCTGGCTGGAGCTCCTCGGTAGGACCAGCTAGGGATAGGCAGGCACGGACGCGTGGAACTTCGGGCTGCAGGAAAAAGGTCCGCGAAAAAACAAAAAATTGATCTGGAAATTGGTTTTCCGAATGGTGATCCCTCCTTTGCAACGTGCATTTTGAACAGGTGCATGTCCGTAGCACCACATTCCTGCGTAGGCCCACATGCAATGGTCAAAAGGGCAATCGAACTTAAACAGCGTCGTTTCTGAGTGCGTTTGATTGCAATTGGATGTTCCGGTCTGGGTAGTCAGGTTTCGGTCCGAGACAGGGCACCCCTTGCTGGCATATGATTGTCGATTGAGGAATCTCGTGTACATAGCATGGTGGACCCCGCTCTTGTGTCAACAATACAGAACGAAACATGTTAAGACATCTTTGGGCTGCCCTAGTACATTGTGCTTTCCGGCTGCTTGTTCCATGGAGAGCTAATGGTGGCCTTCGCCAACGTATTTGGAAAGCCGGGGACGGGGACCACATGGAGTACATGCATCATGCTTGCACGGGTGCCTGCATGTTGACCAGGTGCCTGTTTGGACTTGGGCTTGTGCTCAGCTTGCTGCCGGTCGTCGTGCAGCAAAAATGCAAAACAACGTTGCAGGTACATGAACGGGCAGTGGGGTGCTGACTGTGAACCGAGGCCTGGGGAGTTACCGTGGTGGCGAGGGTCGTGAAAGCAGGACTTTCTGAATCGAGGCCGTGGCCGATTCATGCTACCGATGCGGTAATGACATGCTGCTTCTTTTCTGCACGGAAGGCGGGCGAATTTTCAGTTGAAGGTGAGTGCGTGGCTCATCGTGCGCAGCCCATCTGCGAGCTTTGGTTTGAAGTGCGACTCTGGCTCATGCCTGTTACAGCTTCCATGCGGTGCGTTTTGAGGCGTATTTGGTATTGGCATGGCGGGCGCGACTTGGTGATGGACTACTAGCAAGATCATTAAACAGCGCGAGACGTTTGCATGCATATGCGAGGTTGTTTCGGATTTGCCCGTGGATCCAGTTGCAAACGTTTTCCTCGGACGAGCTCAGTCCTGAGTGCGGAACTGTGCAACGAACAGAGACATCTCTGAAGGGCGTAATTTTTGTTTCCGGGAATACCGGGTCGGAACGCACAGCGGTCGGGCCTTTTTAGGCACTTTCTCGGTGAATCGGGCAGACCAACCGTCCTGGTGCTGGTTCCTCAGACAGTTTCGCAGGGTGCACAGCAGTTCATCGAAACAGTGTCATGCGAGGATGAACCATCTGTCTTTCTTGGATTCGGTGTCCGAGGCTTATGCTCGGTCCAGCATGAAAAGTTGAAAAGACAAAGGGCTTGCTTAGGCTGGCTGTGCCCATGGCGCCTCTCCATCGATGTGCAGACGTGCGTGTGCTTGTGGCGAATTATGTGGGCCACTGAAATCTCACGAGTCGGCGCAGGGAGCATTCAAAGAAGGCCTCTTGGCAGAACTGATCCTGTAGGGGCGAGTCGTGCAAAAGGTGTTTGCCATTCCATTGCTCGGCGGTGTGATGCGAGACGGGGCCTCATCTGCTATGGTTGGTCATGGGCCATGCCAAGGTGTGATACAAAGGGCCGTAGCAGTCCCATACCGAGGAAGCCAGTCGGGCATGAAAGCCACCATAAACCTGTTGATTGCACCCTTAGCATGCGACGCAGCAACAGGCAACAATGCAACCATTGCTGCCTGCGAGCTTGATCAATGCATGAGGCCATCGGACTTGCGGAGGTCCCCTTCAAAGCAAGCGCAGGCAAGGAAATGGCTGATGCGTTGGACGCAGATTGATCTGCACCGAAACACGGAAACACAGATTTTCGCTGTTGCAACTCATCAAAAACGTGCATGACCCTTTGAAGAACTTGGCAGGCTACTGCCTATTTCCGCGGCGCTTTGCGATTGTGCATTCTGATGTAAAATGAGACAATATGACAACCGTGTGAACATAGACGTGCCACATACGTGCACCCTGACACAGAGTCGAACGCAAGTACATGTAAGGTAAGCATACGGAATCACACAGACCATACATGTACCTGCCGTGCGGGAGCCGCCTAGACGTTGGACTCGCCGGCAGTCATGCAAAGCAAAGGAGGCAAATGAATGAATGGGTCAGTGACCGAATGAATGATGCGCTAAGCCGCTGAAGGACTGCCTGCATGGAGTAGGTTAGATGCATGAATGAGTGAGGGCGTGAGTGAGTGAAGTGAATTAGTTAGTGGACGAGTGCCTGGAAAGGTGAAAAGTGATGAAATGGGCAAATAGGACAACAAGAGAATGAAGGATGTAATGGAATGGCATGGAATGGAATGACATTAATTATGATTAATTGTGCTGAATGACTGAATGGTAAAGGCATCAAGGATCCAATCAATGATGACAAAGAAAGAAATCCAAGTAGAATACATTGACAAAAAGACATAAACTGAATACTCAACGAAGCGAATGACACGAGATGAGATCCGAAGAAATGACGAGATGAATGAGATAAGTGAAATCACTGAGATGATTGAGATGGAAGAGGCGCAGGAACGGGCGAACTAAGAAAACGGAGAAGGAAGCAAGGAAGGAAGAATAAATAGATCAATGAACCAGCGGATGAAGTGGTGTGAACTGAACTTGAACCACTTGGAAAGAGCAACAAGGGCAACTTTTTCAGAGTAAGATTTTCGTGACATTTCGAGATTTGTCGTGTTGAAACGAAACCAAAGGATTGTCCAGAGCCGTGGACCGAAAATCCTTACCAACAAATACTGTGCTTCGTATGAGCTTCTGGGCGACTGTATTGTTTTGATAGTTCGCCATGAAGGTGATTTCTCCAGCTTGGCAGTCGAAAAGGATGCCATGGAAGAGAAGTGCCCATCAGGAAAACATTCGACAGTTTGCATCGCATATCGATGCTGTGTGGTGAGGCTGAAAGTTTTTGCTGAGCATGTGCAGGGCGGTGGTGCCTCGGCCTCGGGTGTCTGCAGCATTCCATCTTGTGCGGTGCTGCATGCCCGATCGCACATAGCATGGGAGAGCGGCTCAGAGAGCGCCGCAATGGAAGTTGCAGCAGCATCACCATCGTTTGCGAAAGCATCGCATGTGAGCATGGTATGACAAGTTGTGCCTTCTCCATCCATGACGTCTAGCTACTTCTTGCAGGGGGGTGGTAGTTGGAGATTCCCGAGCAGCAAGGGACACTTCCCACTGATGTCCTGTCATAGTCTCACAGTAGGGTCATGTTTGGCTGTCTGTACAACGCAGGGATGGTTCAAGGACGTTTCGCGAGTTTGTCAAAGACGTGTCGCCGAACGCGACTTTGCTCAGTACCAGCATCATGACCCGCGAAACTCATCGGCGACCGTCGACAGTCTAAAGCATAGCCAGGACCAGCATTCCGACTGCATGGATTTGTGTTGAATGCAAATGCGAAGTCAGAAGCGCTAGAGGAATCTCCTAGTGACTAGTGACTCCAGTGTCAATGAGGGGGAGGGCAGTATGGCCGGGCAAGACGAGTTTGTGCTCATGGTGTTCAATCGCTCCCGTACCACTGTCGGCACAAAATCAACATGAAGCAACGTGTGCTGGCAGAAGCGCATCGGAATCCGAAGCCAGCCTGGCGAAGACACCTCCGGAATAGTTTTGATCAAACTTGTCTGATTGCAGCCCACAGGCTTGAGATTTTGAGCTCGGGGTGTCAGGTTCAGACAGTTACTCGAAGCTTCAGTGCCAAGCATAGAGTGTGATGTGTCCACGACTGGTCTACATGAACGCCTGTTTGTCTCACTTGTTGACTGCATTTGACTGCTCAAGACGGGCTCCTGTGGAGTACGGTTCATCTTAGGGTCCGGCGAGAACAGGGTTTCTCGTGAGCTGCCCACAGTTGTGCAGTTAACCGTGCGGTTCTACTTCTAGTCGAACCTGTTGTCTTGCAACAGTATGCTGCTGCCTCTGGTTGCTTCGTTGGATGCTCGATTGGAAGTGCCCTGGCTTTGTGACCGATGGTTAAAATGGGTTCCTTTGCTCTTCACAGGTCATCAGCCGTAAGACCTTTTGTTTCCGATTGATTAGCATTGCATAGCCGCTGCTGCCTGGCGCCACCCCTTGCCCCGTTCGGGCGCGCCACTGAGAGACGATGAGTCCATGTGTTCCCTGGTTCTTCACTAGACGCGGAGCCCGATGACAGTCCTTCTGCATCTTGCCTCGCCTGCCGTGATTGCCCGCCATGCCGCCGCCGCGCCTCCTCACATGATCAGAGTGCCTTGCCGCATGTGCCGCATTTTCCTGGCGCGCCTGCCGCGATGATGGGCATAGCGCAGATTCTGCTCTGCGTGCATTGCCTTGCTTTTCTGCGACTGCCGCGAAAGCTTGAGCTTCTGCCCCGGCACCCTACCTTCAACATCCTTCAGCACGACCGATGTCTACCGTTCTCTGCTTTTCACATAGGGTTTCTAACTTTCGAGGGGCTTTTACGCATAAGCTCAAATTTTTCTTCATTTTGCCGTCGGGAAGATCAATACAAACTCGACCTATTCACCTCCAATCATGTCCATGTCTCAAGATTGTATGTGTGTCTGTGCAGGTAGATGTCACATGAGCGCAAGGGCTTTGCTGCCCAGGCTTCGTCCTTGACAGGCAGAATACAAAAGAAGGACGGTCGTGAGAAATGCAAGCGAGAGTTGCGTCGGTTAACGAGTTTCACCATGCATCACCATTGAACAAGCCTGTGTTGCATTTGCATATCACCCGGTGGCATGTGAAACGCACGCTGGAAACATGCACAACTGCAGGGTCGGCCAGGTTTGTGACATGCAAACAACTCTTGATCCCAGGTTGGTGCATGGTTTCCAGAAGGTATGCGAAATCGCGGTGATCCACTCGTCCTCCAGGCCGTCGCATTTCGAGTTGAGCATTCGCGTGTAAGTATGTAGGCTGAGCAGGTAAATCCTTAAGTATGTATGTTGCATGTATGTGTGTACGTGTGTAACCTTGTAACCACGTAGGGTGCACACCTACTTCCCGACATACCTTACCTACCTACCTTTTTGCCTACTTCCCTACCTACACTACTACCTACGCTGCCTGATGCTCCTTCTGCCTACAACACCCACACCCTACCTACCTACCTACCTACCTACCTACCTACCTACCTACCTACCTACCCCTACCGACCTGCCTACACCTACCGACCTGCCTACCTTCCAATGCCTGCCCACCTGCATACCTGCCTGCCCATCACCTGCCCACCTGCCTACCACCCTGCGTACCACTTACCCACCTACCACCCACCGACCTGCCTACCTGCCTGCCTGCCTGCCGTCTGCCTACCTAGCTACTGACCTACCGACCGACCGACCTACCTACCTACGGCCTGCTTACACTGTTGTTTTTTGGCTTACTTTCTTACTTACGTACTTACTTACGTACTTAC